CCGTCTTGAAATATGTCTTTAATTTACATTTATTGTTATTTTGGAGTCGGTTTCGGTCTAGTTCTACCTTAAACTTAAACAGGTCTAAGACATCAGACCGACACTCTTCGCGCAGAATTAAGAAATGAAATTAATTTGTAACATATGTCGTCTTCCAGACTGTGGTCTTGTGAGTTCAGTGAGATTACCGTACGGGAGATACACCATCCAAACATTCGTATTTATAATCTTAGTAAGATGACCATATTATGTTGCGAAGAGTAGCAAAGAGATCTATTTTACAAAGTAAACTATTACAAAAACATTAATAATACGAAAGTTATTAATTAGTATAATTTAATATCATCTTTAAAACGGACACTTAAAAAGTTTACAGCTTTATGGAAAGCATAAATCTAAAAACTTACAACTTGAATTGCTTAATTATGCCTCAGCATGCCATTAAGTCTGTCTTATGACTGAACTACGCGAGGAATCTCAGAAATTTGCATAGGAAAATTTTAATTTCGCTCAACGTACCTCGTCGTACATGTGTTGACGTGAATACGAGTATTTATATGTATTCTTCATACATGCTTATTTTAGTGAATTCAGAGTTCCATGAACTTTGTTGAGTGGTATTTAAAATGTTTTCGATTTCAAATTACTTCATCATTATTATTTTAATCATCATCAGCTCACTATACGTCCCCACCGAGAGGCTCAGAGTCTAACCTAAGTTAAGGGTGATTAGGCCATAGTCAACCACGCTGGCCAATTGTGGGTTGGTTGACTTCACACATAGCTTTGAATTTCTTCTCAGATATTTTATCACGATGTTTTCCTTCACCGCAAGAACGTCGGATAAATGTACATATGTAAATCGGAAATCGAAGAACACATTGGTACATGACGGGATTCGAACCCAGGACCTGCAGATTGCAAGTCAAGTACTTGACTCCTGAGCCACCGACGCTCTTATTATGTTAATAACTAACAAGAATAGAGAACTAAATAGAACATAAGATAACCAATAAAACATGAAAGATGTAAAGTAAACAAAAAGGTAATAAGGGTACATACGAGTATGTACGAGTAGATATACAGTCTTATGTAATCCTTTACCTAAAGAGACTGATAGATTAACGTCGTGTTCGTATTCGTTATCTCATGGATAAAATGTATAAGTTAATAGTAAAAATATATAAATAAATTATCATAAGATTTCGTAGCATTAAAATACATATATTTTCAAATAGATAAAACCAAAATCTTACTATCTTACTTACTTCTTACGATAAATGCAATTATTTGGATGGATGAATGGATATTAGATGGTATCGGTTGCATGGATCTCGCTGAAATTTGGCTTACATGTAGAACATAGTCTAGAAGAACACATAGGCTAATAATTAATTTATTTTTTCGCGCGGACGGAGTTGCGGTGACAGCTAGTACTGCTGTAAATTTAGGGTTCCGTACCTCGAATGAAAAAAACGGAACCCTTATAGAATCACTTTGTTGTCCGTTCGTCTGTCTGTCAAGACCCTTTTTCTCAAAAACGCGTAAAGTTATCAAGCTGGTATTTATTTGAAATTTAACTGCAGTCTACCACTGTTAAATAAAATTAAAATAATATTTTTGAATAATTAATGGAACTTAGTTACTTATGAAATATTCCAACAAAAGACACCTTCAATTAAATTAAAATGACATTGTTATTTGATTATTAAAAGAGCGTAATTCTTGAAATTCTCTCTTTGCTGTTAGAGAACATAGATTTTCCGAGTAATGGTTATGAATAATTAAAATTACAAGAAAACTCTCATAAATAATTTAAAAAGTGTTAAATTAAATTTTAGATACACAAAAATGTTTAAAAGTCCAAATTGACAGTTGGTACGAGTTAGAAAATATATTTTAGTAATATGCTTACGATCGGATTTTAGTAACAAAGTAAAACATATTTCTGTGTTCGACCTTTTTTTTTGTTGTGTTAATTTTTATTTCAATTTTGTTTTTTTTTTGTGTTTTTCATTGTGTTACGAGTGTTATAATGACTTTGTATGGTTTAAATGTCTTATTATTACTATTTTTATTGATTTATGTTCCAGTGGTATTTAAAGATTTAAAAAACGCGAACAACAAATGTATTTGAAGGTTGGACACATTTGCATCGCTTACGCGCGTGCTTAGCACTGTATTGTATGGCTTCACAAAAGCGGAATTTGCATTTTATTTCATGAACAATGGAACATTTTCACGATTCGTTTCTTTCTAGAAATTTAAAGTAAGTAGATATCTCTTTTTAAAAGTTTGCAAACATTTCGCTTCCGCTGGCTGCGCGACTTTTATCCCAGGCCGGATTATTGTTTCCTGAACCGCTTTCGAGCGCGACTGTATTATTTTGAATATTATTCAAGTCCCACATTTTGTACTATTAAATAGACGAACTACGATATTACTTTCATTGAGATATTATTAAAATGAAAACTAAATTTTTATTGAAATAGTTTCTTTAAGATTGAAAGCGATTAAATCTACTTTGATAAGTATTTAAATCGTGTTTACAATTTTCAATTTTTCTTTTTAATTAAAAGTATTTTTTTTAAAGAACATCCTCTTTATCAAGTACGTTTTTGTATGAATATCCTCATGTCTTCGTTCGTCGACACTAAACTGGTTAATTGTCTACACTTGGATATGTATTTTTGTTTACTTTTAAGATTTATTTAACTCTATTTATATTTATTTTACTAGACAAACTGATACATAACGTTTATTCAATTTTGTATATTTATAAGCAGCAGAAATGTTACAGAATAACTTACATAATAAAAATATTTATTCAAGAAACAAAATCTCTGTATGCGCCATTAACTTACGTCTACTTTGGAATTATACGTATAAGTAAAGAATTCGTAGAAAGCTGAAATCTTTAATAATTTATTTATACGAGAAAACATTGCTTCACTTTTTCACGTGACCTCTTTTTTAGGAAAGATGTTTGCGAACCGGAGACATTGTTAAGACTAGTCTGAAAAAGTGACCGACATTTTTGCCGACTATATTAGCAAAGAATAAACATATTTATAAAAATAACCGCATACTTTCTTACTCTTAATGATATGTCTAATCATACATACAGACAGGCTGATCGACGTTTTAAATTCATACAATCGTTATTCAGATTCATACAACCGTTTTAAATGTACAGTCAGCTACATAAATACGTAATATTTACAAAACTTTAGAAACTTGTATAGGCCGTCGGTTTCAAAAACACTTAAGCAAGTATTCGTCAAAGTATGTAGCATGTAGGTGGGAAGCATAAGGACTGATGCGTGCATATATATTTTTAAAACCTGAAGCGTATACAAGTTTTGAAGCTATTTTGTAAATGTACACATATTTTTGCAGCTGACTGTACCTAGAATCTTTGTAAAATGAAAAAAAAAATTAAATTAATATTCGCGATTCCGACAGTCATTATGTTATTATATAATGTTTTAAAATGATTCGTTGGCTAATCTTTGTTAATGATTCTATTGTTATTTTTATTTATATCATAAACTAGCTGTCGCCCGCGACTCCGTCCGTGTTGATATATAAAAAACTTGATTAGTGTAGCCTATGTGTTCTTTCAGTCTATGTTCTATACGTATGCCAAATTTAATTGAGATCCGTTCAGCCGTTCTAGAGATATCTTCAAACACCCATCTACAACACTTCCATCTAAACCTCTTCTGTAATAAAAAAAAACATTCGCATTTATTATATTACTAAGTTAAATAAAAAGCAGATCTTCAAGGCATAAATTCGAAAAAAATGAATAAATAGTATCCCATGTCCGTCTCCTGGCTCTAAGCTACCTCCTCACCAATTTTCTTCAATATAGGTAAAGCCGTTCTTGAGTTATAAATAGTGTAACTAACATATTTTATGTATATATAGATAGATTTCGATTTAATGTTGTATAAAAATGTATTTTATTGCTATAACTTACTTCAAATAAAAAGCGTAAAAATCCCATTTCCCTAACCGATCTATAAATTACAAAACCTGCTGTATTCGAACTTCAAAGGAAAAAACCTCGATATGACCGCGAGGTGCGAACGTGTGAGAGATAAAAAGAAATGGTAAGTTAAGAAAATATTTACTGGAGGCTTCATTTCCTTTTTGAAGCTTTGCCTGTATTAAAATGTGGAATTCCTATATTTCTTGTTACTGGATTTTGAACTGTTTTATTAGTGTTGATACAATGAATAAGTGATATTTAGGAATTGTGTTTTAAACGAGAACAAAAATTGATGTGGTTTTTTAATCTCACTTCTTACTACATTATAACATTTATAATTGTTCGGATTAATGGATGTTTCTTAGAAAGAAATTTAGCAAAGATGTGATATAACACATTGGCTATTAAGTATCTTTTTAATTGCGCGCGAACTGAGCCGACGGCAACAGCTGATTTATCTATAAGTTTTTTTTTATAACAACAAAGTTATCATCATCATCATCAGCCTATACTCGTCCACTGCTGGACATACGCCTCTCCCATGGCACGTAATGTTATGTTTTGAACTTTACTTTTAATTACTTCTAACAATCATCGACGGAAAAGACCAAATAGTTTGTTATGACAGTGTACATTTGGAATGATACTTTTCCTACTAAAACATTTGAAAGCGTAATGCTTTTAAATTTTATAATATGATGTAAATTATTGAAAAAATATCAATTGGCGATAAATAATGTGAATATAGAAAGCAAACTTAACTAAGAATACGTTTATCTTTTGTATAAGACAAAACAAATAGCTAAGCTGTTCAAAGACATGTGAAACACTGTGGAAACTTGATAACTGGAGGCAATGTGTAGAAATAAACTGTTCTACAAAACCTTACAAAAGGTAAGCCGGCGATATCAAGCAGAATATAAATGTTGTTTTGCTGGTCATAAAATAATCTTAAGGTCTATAATAATTTGTTTACCTTGTGTGAAAGTTATTAGGCCGAAAACTACGGAAGGTTAAAATGATAGTTGCCAGAGAGGATTGAGATGTTTATTCGGCGAGCGTTCAACGAGTACAGACAAGTTAAAGAGGTTACATTCAAATTGGGAAGCATAATTAAAAATCTTAGGTTGTGTAGGGTACTTCCCTACTTGATCAAAAAACATTGCTCGAGTATAATTCCAGGCGCTCAGCGCATCGGCGAATTTGCGCCAACATGCCCCCGGGCGTTGAAGGCTCGTCCTTCAACAAAACTAGTTGTCGTCATGAGGCAGCGGGCAGATCTTGCTGAATGCGCGGCGCACGACACCTGTCGCAGTCCGCACGTCGGCCACGCGGGATACTCCGTCCGCTCCGGGATGGACTGCCACGACTCGACCCAGCCGCCATTTGAGCGGCGGCAGGTTGTCTTCCTTCAGAATGACCAGAACACCTTCCTGCAATGGGTTGAGATTAGAGCGCCATTTCGTCCTCAACTGAAGTTCAGAGATATACTCCTTGCTCCATCTGCGCCAGAAGTGTTGGCGGAGCTGCTCCAGGTGTTGATATCGGCTCAGTCTTCCAGTGGCATGGTGCTCGTAGCAGTCAGCCGGCAGCGCAGTGAGAGGGCGGCCGATGAGGAAATGTCCCGGCGTCAACGGCAGCAGGTCGCTAGGATCTGCTGAGAGTGGCGTAAGCGGACGAGAGTTGAGAACTGCTTCGATTTGGACCAACACAGTGTTTAATTCCTCGTATGTGAGGTTACAATTACCAAGAATTCTTTTAAGATGGAACTTTACAGATTTAACGCCTGCTTCCCATAGACCACCGAAGTGAGGGGCGTGAGGAGGTAAAAAGTGAAAATTAATGCAGTCAGGAGCGAGGTCACCAGGTAGAGAATTGAGACTGCCTTTAATAAAACGACCGATTTCAGTATACGCACCTACGAATGAGGTCCCGTTATCGGAATAAATGTGTTTAGGTTTGCCGCGACGTGACATAAAACGACGAAGAGCCGACATAAAATTATTACTAGTCAAATCACCTACTAACTCAATGTGCATGGCTTTAGTTGCGAAACACACGAAAACAATAATATAAACTTTGACAAGTTTGTAGCCGCGACCTTGACGACTGGCTGACATGATAGGTCCGGCGTAGTCGACTCCGACGGTCTCGAAGGGATAACCACTCGCTGTCACACGTCGCTGCGGCAAGTTACCCATTATAGGATTCACTACCTTTCCTTTAAATCGACAACATAAATGACAATTACGAAAAGTTCGTTTAGCTAAATTTAAACCACCGATTGGCCAGTAAGTTTCTCTCAATGAACTGAATAATAAACGAGGGCCAGCATGTAAAAGTTTTACATGCATATATTCAAATATTAATTTTGTTAAACGATGAGTGGACTGTAATAAAATAGGATGCTTCTTTTCATAAGAAAACAATGAATTATCTAATCGACCGCCGACCCGCATTACATTGTTATTGTCTAAAAATGGACAAAATTTTAAAAGTTGATTCTTTGCGGGCAAGCGCTTATTTTGCAATAAAATATTATATTCATGAAATGACTCGACTTGTGATAATTTTATCAAAACATTTAAGGAATTTTGAAGTTCATCATTATTCAAAAAATGTGTTGATGGACGCTGTTTTTTGCAAATATTAATGAATCTTAAAACATAAGCCATAGTGCGCTGTAATCTTATAAATTTAGAAAAACGTTCGAAATTAATTAAAGCCATATTCGAGTTATTAATAATTAAAGTGATTTCAGTGCGCGTTTCAGGTAATCGCTCATTTGGCGTTACATTCTTTGGATAAAAAGAAATATTATTTCTTAAAAACTGAGGGCCTGACCACAATATATCGAGATTGTTAATTTTATCAATGGTGACGCCGCGCGAGACGTAATCTGCTGGGTTTAAGTCAGTAGGGACATGACGCCAAGCGTGCGAACTGGTCTTATCTACTATCTCGGCTACACGGTTGCGCACAAGTGGTTGCAGTTTACTTGGCAACATTTTTAACCAGCCTAAGACGATAGTGGAGTCTGTCCAAAAGGTTACCGATCTTACTTGCACTCGCAGAGAACTCAACACCTTTTTGTACAGGCGCCCTCCAACGAGCGCAGCGCACAGCTCGAGTCTCGGGATCGTGGTGGGCTTTATAGGCGCCACGCGACTTTTAGCTGAAAGCAACCGCACCAAAACAGCATTATAACTCGTGCTGCGAACGTAAAAACATGCACCGTAGGCTGCTTGCGATGCGTCACAAAAATTATGCAAGTCAATTGAGTCGTAACGATTGCAAAGTATAAGACGAGGAACTTGTAAAGAACTTAGTAAGGGCAAGCTGTCTGCTATTATTTGCCATGATTTAATAATTTCAATAGGCAGTGGGTCGTCCCACGAAAGCCTAAGAAGCCATAATCTTTGCTTTAACATTTTAATGGAAATAATGCAGGGAGCTGAGAAACCTAGCGGATAAAATAAACTTTCGGACATGAATTTAATATAATTATTTCTAAACTCGGGTTGCCCTTTGAATTTTCTCTCAAGAGAAAGTAAACAATGTTTGGCGCGCTGCAGCGAGCCGCCTAATACATCAGGTGACTGTGTCAGCGGCAACCTGACACAGAACCGACCGTCTGACTGACGAGATGTATTTTTAATGAAATGTTCTTCGCACATTTTCTCTTCTTTGGATAAAGATGAAGACTGAGGGCTGACCTCCTCGAGGTGCCAAAACCGCGTTAATAGGGTTTGAATGTCATCACTGGAATCATTGCACGAAGAAACATAATTATTTGATTTTACCGACACGAAATTGGACTTAAAGTCAGAAGTCGAGCGTGCTTGGCCACTATTATACAAAGGACCTGAAACTAGCCACCCTAGACTAGATTCAAATAGCACGGGCTTCCCGGCTCCTAAACTAATTTTACGTAGCCCTAATAGATCCCAAAACACATCCGCACCAATAATTAAATCCACCGAAGATGGAGTGTGGAAGTTGGGATCCGCTAAAGAAAGGTTGCTAGGTAAATTTAAGTCTTTAAAAACTATTTGCTGACTGGGCACATCGTCAGTAATATTCGGCAAAACAAAACAGAAAATCTTTGTCGAAAAGTTTTCATTTAAAGATTTAATGGGTAAACAACACATTTCGCCTATATGCGATTTTGAATTATTTATACCCAATAGTGACTCGTTTACGTTAACTGTAGGTAAATTTAACGATTGTTTCAATCGTTCACTAATAAGGCATGAAGTGCTGCCGCTATCGAGAACTGCGCGGGCGATGCGCTCACCGCCGCGGTTGTCGACAATTTTTATAAGGGAAGTGGCTAAGAGTACCTGTGTTCTGTTGGGTAAATAGGTAGGAAGTTGGGCAGACAACGTGACATTACCGGAGGGCTCGTCACTGCATAGTGTCGGGGTTGCGGAAGAATGTGCGAAGCGGTCCTCAGTGTTAGAACATACATTAGCTGTTGACTTATACTTCAGATCTGGAATGTGAATTAAAACATTATGTCGCTTTTTGCATATTTTGCAACCGTTAGATCTGCAATTGTTTGCATAGTGACCAGATCGCAAACAATTAAAACAAACTTTTAATTTGGGCAAAAGTTCCAAACGCTGTTCGCATGTAAGTTCTAAAAACTTAGCGCAATTAAATAATTTGTGTTCGCATTTACAATTAGGACATAGCTGTAACGAAGTCTTCTCATGACCTTGAATTTTTGGACTTTGTGCAATCGACACCATACTCTTAATATTACTTGTCCTTTTTTGTGTAGGTTGAGAACAGCGAGATAACTCTAAAGTTTCTAACAAGTCTGCACGGTTTCGTAAAAATGTTAGAAATAATTTAAATGAAATAGCAGTATCACAGTCCAACCTACCTTTGTACTCCTCCCACTCACGATACGTTTTCGAATCTAATTTATGACTAATTATGTATATTAATAACGTATCCCAATAACTTACAGGTTCTCCTAACGATTCTAAAGATCTAATATTTTTATTTATCGTATCAATTGTATGCTTTAAAATAAATGTCGACTCTTTAGAAATTGTCTCAATGTTAAATATAGCAGCAACATGATTTTGTATCAATAGCCTTTTGTTATCAAACCGGTCGCATAACAAATTCCAAGCAATTAAGTAATTACCGGCTGAAAATTCAATAGATTGAATAACAATAGCGGCCGTCCCTTCGAGCGACGCACGGAGATAATGAAACTTATTTATATTGTCTATACTATCGTTCGAGTGTATTAAACTAGAAAAGTGTCTCTAAACTCAAGCCAATTATCATATGAGCCACTAAATTTAGGTAGTTGTATAGTAGGCAGCTTTACGATATTATTGTTGCGTTGTGAACTACTGCAACTTAGTGCGCACTCACTAGTGACGTGTTCAATATTTTCATGACGCACTATTAAATCTTGCGCCTTTGCGACAATTTTAAAATATATCGACTCGAAATCGGTTCGTTCGCTAATTTGCGTGTCAATATCGTCGGCTAAACACTCTAAACGTAGTTGGACCTCATCGTAATTGGTGTATAAAATATCAATTTTACTTACACGTGTCTTCAATTCGCTAACCTGGGACGAAGTTAAAGGCTCCTTTAAATCGCTGATGTAATTACTAAATACAGTTAAGCGACCTTTATAACTTGCTCGCTTTTTAATTAATTCCCTTTCCTCGGCCATGGTATATGGAAAACGGCAAAAATCTGAAAAATTACAAAAATAATCTTAAAGTAAACTAAACAACACAGCACTAATGTACGAAATATTAATACACTTCCATTAAACACTGTGCGGTGTTGAGTATGTTCGTCCGTTTCTTTGTTCTCAAGATGTCCTTCACACGACCTCTGGACGAACTGATGTCTTCTTCAAGATCTTCGTTAAATCCGTAGAAATCGACAAAATCCGCAGAAATAATTTACTTCACTGGTTGTTAAACAATATAATCCGGCTCGAAGGACCATGTGAAAGTTATTAGGCCGAAAACTACGGAAGGTTAAAATGATATTTGCCAGAGAGGAATGAGATGTTTATTCGGCGAGCGTTCAACGAGTACAGACAGGTTAAAGAGGTAACATTCAAATTGGGAAGCATAATTAAAAATCTTAGGTTGTGTAGGGTACTTCCCTACTTGATCAAAAAACATTGCTCGAGTAAAATTCCAGGCGCTCAGCGCATCGGCGAATTGGCGCCAACACTTGTATTAACCAGTCTATGTCTAGTTAAGTAATTTTGAATGCTCAGTATTTTTAAGTCATAATTCTTAAGTAAACTAATTGCTGTACTCAGAGATACTGTTACTAAGGGGTTCGTTTTAATATTTATAACTTATCTTGTTCATCTTCAGGTATCCTTTAAAGTTTTATAAGCCATTTGGTTCATGTAAGATATTAGTTTGAACAACTGTTAATAACATAACATTTTCGTAACTGTTGCGTAGGGTAACATAGCTTTATAGCATTTTGAGACTATGAGGTTGAAAAAAAATGTTTTTCGTTAAAAGACGTGGCCAAGAATTCCCGGAGTAATATAAAAAAATTACTTTTATGTTTGTGTTAATTAAAATTAAATGAATAAGTTCTGATAAAATTATGTAATGTATATTCATCTTTAAACAAATATTGTCGTGTTATGCATTTTTTAACACTTTAACAATTGAAAAAACTTCGTGATTGTCATAATTGTTGCAATTGACAGAAGATTCCGAAATAGCGTGCCATGTAAATTTGGTCACCCTACGCAAGCTTGCACCAGTAATTGGCGCTTGCTTCCTATTTACACAGCGCTTCAACAAACGCCTGCACACGTGCTGCGTCCGCCGCCCGCCGCCTGTACATTTCCCTCTGATGCAACAACACATTCCTACAGGAAAAGAGGCCACTTAAGACATGGAATTTATAAATCGTTACAAAAATCGTATAAACTAAATATCGTAAATCTTTATTCAAGTCACTAGAGATTCTGTCGAGTGTTACTCCTTAAAAAAAAATTGATTACATTGTCTTACTTTGACTAGAAATCGCCACCATTAAGCTAGGTTTAGCTCGGTGTTATATATTTAGTGCGGTGATAGGAACAAGGGCCGCGTCTGAAATAAGCTCACGAATCCACGCCGCGTTGTCTGACGGTCGCCTCCGCCGTTGTCGCCGTCATGCGGTCTGTCGCGCCCCGATG